TTTAATTGTTGTTGCAACAATAGTCCTCCGTTACGTTTAAAGAACTTTCTTTTCCTCTTACTCATCCTTCTCTTCTTAAGGAACTTTCTCAACCACCAAATTCCAACCACTAGGACTAAGATGCCAAAAGCAGCACCTACTCCTGAAAACCGTACAAAAAGATTGTATGGATATGTTAACCATCACATGTTTCCTATCATCACGATGTTAACTGAATCTAAAGATATATTCACTCTGTCTTACCTATCATTGTTATTGTAGTCTTATTGCCAATGCAATTAAATGTTCCGGGAAGATTCACACAAGTATCGCTTTCTCTACAATTTTGGCGTTGTCCATAAGAGTTACGTAGGCACTCATTAATATCTGGATAGTGAATACGAAAGGTCTTTAAGAAAATTGTGAAAATACACTCCGTACAATCCTACGTACTCTGAGGTTCCCAGATGTTTTACACATAGAATAAGAGAGGACTTTAGAAACAATTTAACTGACCTTTGCATCCGCCAGGGAGGTATGGGTTACCTTCGTAACCTTGGGAGCATCCACAGTTTGCATAATCTGTCCCAGAAATGGTGACATTGTTGCATATGCAACTTGTTACGAGTTTGATATTATACGTAGAATTATCGTACTCTGTCGTGTTTTTGTAGCTCAAGGAGTTTACAAAGGAGAGATTCTTCGTCTGGATGACCCATCCTAAACTAACTGTAGCATATCTTTTAGCAAATAACCTTTTTGGTTCGCTTGCATTCGAAAACGGGGAGACGTCATCTGTTAAGAAAGCGACTCTGCATTCTAGTTTTGTCGAGTTTCCATGATCAAAGCTCTCTATGTTGATGCCGATCACTTGTGGAGCCTCAGAATCCGGTAGACCTGCGATGCAACATCCGTTACCATCACAGCTTCTTTCATCTTCCCCGTTGTTCTTTGTACAAAGCGAGCTGTAATAGGGCAACTTGTTGTCTGAGCAACCAGTTTTGTCGAAAAAAGGAATGCTTTTACTTGGCAACGTCTCTTTGCTTGCAGTGCAATTCAACTCGCATCCCACCTTGCTCGGATTGATGTTAGTCAACGACGCCTTGCTGTTGCAACCAACAGCAACCAGGCTGTTTCCAATCCCAAAGTAAAAAGGACTGTCCGTAAAATTTAGAACCGATCCAGACTCTTTTCCATCTCTCGAACATCCAATGGATGTTATTGGGATTTTGACACGAATTGATCCGTATGACACAGGATTATTATAACCATCGTCACCTGGAAGAGAGATATTCACAACTGCCATGCCCATCTTGAAGAGGAACGGGTAAGTAGCGTTTTTGCATTCGATTTTGTACCATTCATTGAGATAACAACCTTTTTCAATTCCAAAAGGATATGGGATATTTATATTTCCACATACGGATTTGGATTGACACGAAGTCGAAAGAGAGACAACTTTTGAATCAAGGATGAGTATAAGCAGAAGAGAGAAAAGAATCGAGAAGGAGTAATTGTTGTCGCACCTCATGATGTTGCTTGTCTTGTTGGCGCAGACCTTGTTCCTTGCTAAACCAGCAAACCTGCGAGTGAAGTAAAAAAGTTCCGGTTACTTGCAACAAAAGTTACAGAACAATTAACAGATATCTCAGAATTTCATAAGAAAAGTTTGGGTATTGTGTCGGAAACAGTTTTCGCCCGCGAATAAATCAGCCATCTGATAGCACAAGCTCAAAAGTCAACTCCATTGTTTTAATATATATATACTATAAGATAATAAACGCAAGCAACCTTTTAGTTGCAAGTTTCATTTTAGTCCCTCCCAAAAATTACATTATCTCTTACTCTTAATACTTCTTAATGTCTTAGTAGCAGTTAATTAAGCACTAGTGTCACACTTAGAAAGAAAAAGAAGAAGACTTTTCCCTCAGGGAGATTACTCAGCAAATTTTGATGATAAATTGTGGCTGAGGAAAGACTGCCCAATTCCCCACTACTAATAAAGTCTAATGGTCAATATTTCCTCTTACCCGACGAACTTTTCTTCGAATCCTATTTTTTTGGATGTGTTACAAGCAAAAATAATTGTATGGGCCACTAAATAATGAATATATAGAAGAAAAACGGTGTAAAAAATGAAAGAGGTGAGGGTTGAACACTTGAACCTCTTTGTTAAGTCAGAGTCCCAATCTTCAGTGTGTTGTGTTGTGAAGATGAAAGAAAGGTCATGAAGAAAATTTATTGTATATAAGATTAAATATTAAATACTGAAAAAATAACTTTAAATAATCGATTAATCTCTGAGAACAAATAAATGAAAATGCATAAATAGCGTTTTCGTTGAACATTGTGGAGAAAAATAGCTACCAAATTTATTTAATTTTGGGTTGTTATCCCATTGGTTTAGTCATGATAAATAGTTAAAAGATAGTTAGACTATGGTTAAACTTAAACACATTAGTAGGATCCTATAGTTAATTCATAACGAGAAATTAGGACACGTGGCTCTGTAGCATAGGTGAATCTTGCCAACTTATCACGCGCAACCATATTAACCGCCTTTTTTAATCATCAACCGCCTTTTCTCTTTGTGTTTCATCTGGACCGTCGATTGATTTAGACTTAAACAAATAGCAACCGTAGGATCTCTCCGAAATCTAAATCCGACTAGGATTTTGGGTTTTGCTTCCCTCTATATATATATACGAAAAAAGATCGATGCCTGTTGATCGCATTCGGTATCCTTTTTTTTTTTAGTTCCGATGATTGTTTAGCTGAGTTTCTTATTACTTTTCTATATATTATGTATCAAATCTCCTTGTTTGATCTATGATCATCTTTCTAGGGTTTTGCTCGATTTCCCGGATTCGGGTGGGAAATCATCATCTGATCGATTATCGCGGCCGGACATGGAGGTACGTTCTTATATAGGGATAGGGTTTCTAGATTTCGTTATTACAGTTTATGAACCTGTTGGGTCTTTTCCATATATGTCTTGTAGAATTGGATTACTTGATTGTGTTTGGTTCGTATAAACTCTGCTAACTCAATCTCTGTTCGTACTCTCGTAGGGATTTATACGGACAAAACAACATCTCGTTGATCTTAACTAATCAACATCTCGTTGATCTCTATCTTATCAACTCCTCGTTGATCTCTATCTTATCAACTCCTCGTTGATCTAACTGATCAATTCTCGTTGATCTCTCGAATCAACATCTCGTTGATCTCTCGAATCAATTCTCGTTGATCTCTCGAATCAATCCCTCGTTGATCTTGTTAAATCAATTCGTTGATCAGTAATTAGAATTCTGTGTACGCATGAGAAAAGAAAGGATTTTGGTTCGGTTATTTTCATGTAAGTTTGGTTTCTCTATTATTAACCTTTGAATCTCCTTATCTAACCGTTGGTATTTTTGTTAGAGATTGGCTTGACTTGCTTCGATTCAGATTCTTAACACCGATTTGGGATGGATTTAGTTTTCAGGCCGGTCATCGACGTACAATCTTGTCTATGCTTAGTGTTTCTCGATTCCGTTGTTCTGTTTACATATTTCTTGTATTAGAGTTTGCTAATTCAATCTGTGTCGTGTTCTTGTAGGAATAATTATGTGCTTAGGGAAAAAAAAAACATCTGATCAACTCTCATTGATCCAATCATCTACGCTTGTTGATCCAATCATCAACTCTCGTTGATCATAACCTCTTATCATCAACGCTTGTTGATCCAATCATCAACTCTCGTTGATCGTAACCTCTAATCATCAACGCTTGTTGGTCCAATCATCAACACTCGTTGATCATAACCTCTTATCATCAACGCTTGTTGATCCAATCATCAACTCCCGTTGATCCAATCAACCCTCGTTGATCATAACCTCTAATCATCAACGGTCGTTGATCTAATTATCAACTCTCGTTGATTTAAAAGAGAAGGAACCTTGATTTTAGTTAGTGTTATCTATCTCCATAGATTTTAACACTTGTACAGGTTATTTGTTTGAGCTTTCAAACTGAAAAGAAACAGATGTACCAAAAACACAGAGAGGGGATTTTGTACATGACTTTTGCCATGACAGGTGCGCTTGCTTGGCAGGTCACAAACCCTTTAATAAAAAGATACAGTTTTTGGTTTCGTGGAGGGATGAGGGAAGGTACGGGGTTGGTTAATAAACTTTCTTTGCCCGGCTCTCTCTCCCTCCTGAATGTGTGTCTACTGTCTTGTTTCATATGCTTCTTGCATACTACACAGACCACAATTATTGAGGCATCACTTGTGCTCTTTAATATGCTTCTTGCATGTGCTATGATCGAAGAACATTGAGTTTCTAATGACCAAGGTATTGATTATGTTTTCTTATCCTGTTGAGATGTTTAATCTGTTTGCTCATATTTTTTCAGAAACAGAGTGAGCAGGGTACGTTATAGTCTCATTCAAAGTAGGACAATGGAATATAGTCTAACCTGAAGAGTTGTTAGGAGGTTGGTCCCTGTGGAATTGCGCACGGATTGTTGGTAAAAACTATCTTATAATCGTCAGGTTTTGTCTGAATGTTACTTGTCCTCATTACTTGTATATTCGCTAAAACATAAAGGGGATCAATCAGCTCAAATGTGGAAGGAATGGAAGAGAAAGAGATAAACAGTAACGTCCGGTGAGAGTGGGAGATAAAGAAACTTTTTGTATCTTGTGGATGATGAGTGAGTCTGACACTCAATAATCAATCAGTACAACGTGTGTAGTCATGGGTAAGAGTAATAAGAATTATAATTGCTTACTCTGGTTGTTATAAGGACCCTATTGACACCACTTGTGCAGAATCATGATGGCTGAGCAGTTTTCCTCATGGTGGAAGCTGTGTACGAGGATGTAGCCATATTGTATAGGCTGTGTTCAACCAATAAAAAGATCGCTCCAATCTATAAGGATTTAAGTTGCTATCAAAGTAGAAATCAACGTTCTAAGGCAAGGCGCTGAAGTTAAGGAAATCAAATGATAATTTGTAGAACTGTCTAGTATGCAAGTTCTCATCAGCCAAATTCTGAATACAAAAGAAACTACACTCTCATTCCTTTATTTACAGCAAAACAAATAGTACCATCATATCCACACACCAAAGTGTTTGATTCACATCACACCCAAATACAAAAAAAGAGAATTCTTTCAAAATTGCAAGGTAAAAAAAAGAGGTGCAAATGTATATATTACTAAACTAGAGAAGCCTCCTCCTGAAGGTTCTGGTAGTTGATTGATAAGTACGAACGAGAAGACCGACACCAATCCCAAGACCAACACAGACACCAAGTCCTATCCCAACACCAACCCTTACACCTGCATTAAACCATGACATCTCCCCATCAATGCACTCACTTCTCCAATACATGTCTCCTTCGTATTCCTCTTTGTAATTCCCGTACTCTGTTGTTGCCTACAGACAAAAGGAATGATAATTACTATACAGAGAATGATGAAATTTAAAATGGTCTATCTCCGAAGAATAGAACAAACTTCAAATCACAACATTACACCAAAGCAAATATTGGGGGATTGTAAGTGACCAACATATGTGGGTCATAGAAGCAGCAGACAAAAGGATAAGAGCTTAAAGATAAAGGAGGCAAATGAGAGATTCCTATTTATCTCTTCATTCGTAAACTGTGTCTAGGCCACATGCCAAATTTATAAGGAGGAGACTGGTCCACTTCAATTTATTAAGGACTTTTCTCTTCATAAAACTACCAACAAACATGTATTCATTCAATGGGGAAAGAAGAGGATCCAAAAACCATCACAACATTTTATGACTTATAAGTTTTTCATCAGGGATAGTAATTCATGTGTTGAACACAAACAAAATATTCAAGAAAACTGTGAGCGTTGCGAAGAAAGAGGGTTTTATCACGCATATGCTATATCTTAGAACAATGAAAGAACGAATTTAGATCATGGCATATGACAACTTGAAAGTTACCTGAAGATCAAGTGCATAGGAGGTGTCTTTCTGAGGCTCTGCAGTTTCATACTCAGGAATTGCATCCAATGCCATTCTTCTACTCTGCTTCTTTTTCAAACCAAGTTGCAGAGTCTTGGTTAAGATGATGGGTGTTCCTGAGAAGCAACCAGTAACATAGACCTCGATAGTTGGCAATGGAGACGATAACTCTTGACCGTTTATGCTCTTCTCCTTAAGGAAACCAGACCCTGCAGTGACCTCAGCCTCACAATTCATTTTCCATCGATTCTTTGATTCCCCAGTGAAACCATTACTACCAGACATCTCAAGAGTTCCAGACAAAACTAGCTCATTTTTGTCATAAACCTCAAACTTCACACTACCAGTTAACCTGATATTGTCTGTGCTGACATAAGTAGCTTCTTCAGATTTCTTATCAACCCGATCTCTCCTAAGCTGTGAAGAACCTCCTTCTGAGTACATTCCCATTCTAACACCGTTAATCTCCAAAAGCGTATCTGGATCCAGAGGAATGTGATTGATAGTGAGGACCTCAGGAGTTGAATCTTCCACCATGAAATTGCTTATCCGGACATAGAACACTCTCAAATCCAACCAGGGAGATGAGCTTCTGGAGCTGTGTTTGTTATAGTTATGATATCTAGATATTTGATAGGCTTCACCATTGTCAAGTGTCTCACAAGGCTCCTCCATGACCAGAGGAAGAGAATCAACAATCCAAACTTAATTCTCACTCCAAAAACTATTCGGAAAACACATGTGTATGCTCAATTCCAATGAAAAAAAATCCCAAAGAGAAGAGACCTGGTTTTGAGGAACAGAAAAGCCTTATTATAAGGACATGAAACGAGGAATACTAAAACGAGAAAAGAGAATCATTCTGTCCCAAAAGGGAAGATTCCCATTGAACACAGAACAGAGGCAATAACACAATCGCAAACGCTAAAAGATATTTAAAGATTCAAACTTTTGCTAGATGCAGAAACCCTAAGATTGTCTCTCCCACAGAATCTCAAAACTCTCAAGATTGAGCCAGATAAGAAAATAAGTTTCAAGAAGCTCTAAAATTGAAACTATGTTTCTTCAGCGACAAAGGAACTACCTTTAAAAAACACTCGAAGCTTCTGAAACTATGAAGATCCAAAGAGAATGAAAGAAACAATAAAAAAAGAGGAGAAAACTCACCAAAAGAAGAAATCACATCCACAAATCCACTAAATCTGGTTAAAATTGACTCGTCGAGTCTCCTAGTGTACGATATTAATCTTCTTGTCAACCTCTAGAATAAAAAGATTTAAAGAAGAAATTTTGTTAGTGGCCAAGATTAGACTTCTCGAACCCACCACCAAAGATCACAGCTTTTTCTTGTCGATCTAATGAGAACGCAGCGCGTGTCCGAGGATTACGATGGACCCCGTTTGAGCTGATATAATTTTGTTTAAGAATAATATCTTGTCGTTATCTCTTTCATTACAAGTTTTATATGTCGGTTAAAATGGCGAAAAGTCTACGGTGACGAAGAGGAAGAAACATAAATATCAGAAGCAGTGATTGCAAAGAAGAAGATGATGTGTTCTTTTCTTTCTGACCTAACGATCTTATCGTCTAAAAGTTTTACCATTTCGTTTTTCAGAACCAAAACTGTTCGCTGTTTAACACACACGAAAACGACATGCGCTGTTTTTATTGATAGACAAATATATTATTACCACGAAAAAGAAACATGCATCATCGAACCGAGACTATATGTCCCATGGGCCGGTTCAGATTTTAACATACGAGAATTATTGGTTATATAATCAACCATATCTCTCGCTTCTTGTCTTGGTGATAAGCTGTCCACTTGAAAGTCTCTAGACTAGTCAGCAAACATTCAGGCACAGGTGTCACTTGATCCCAGCAAACCAGTCGAGCCTTCAAACATAATGGTGTCTGAGAACGAAAATGAGAGTTAACAAAACAATAGAGACAATTAAGACCCTACTCATAGTAATAGATTAATGAAACATACACTGTCGCCGTGGAGCTCAAGGACTTTTAGTTTAGGAGATCCTTTGAGCAACCGGAGAAGTATTATTGACCAATATGGTTTACAAGTACATATCTTTAAACTTTCAAGTTGATTGAAGCAAATTGCGGCAACATTCTTAGCCTGCTCATAGCATAAATACAATTTAGATTATAATGATAAGTAATAAGATTTGAATTTCATATATAAAGATTAAAAAAAAAATATTACCTCGGATCTTTGGAGCATTAAGCACAAGTTTAGACGCTTAACAGATGTGAAAGCTCCAAGAAATTTCTCGTATTCAAAGATATTAGCATCAATGTATGCCTCTTCAATCTTAGGCATATCTATCAAGAATTTATTGTCGCTGTGATCATTTAGTTTGATGTACTCCAAAGAAGGAGCGACAATTTCAACTACATCGGAAGAACGATCACAATCTATATCTAATGATAAACTCTTCAAAGACGGTACAATGATGTGGACAGCTCCCATAGTATCATATTCATCTAGTTCCATGACCAATTCTTCAAGAACAGGGCAATTGCCAAGAAGCGATCGAAGATATCTTTCATCGGAGGAGATTACTTCTTTAAGGTGCAAAGATTTCAGGGAGGGAAAACAAACCGTATGAGATTCATCGAGTAGTTGAAAAGATTCATCTACGTATCTCACTCCTTGTAGTAGCAAGTTTTTCAGAGATGGAAGACAAGCCATACGAGGAACAACCATGAGAATTGCATAAGAGAGTGCAAGGGTCTCGAGCGATTTGCAGGTGTACACGCAAAATGGCAATGTAGCAAATTTGTATGGATGAGGATAATAATCAATGAAAAGCTCCCGCACACAGTGAGAAACTGCAGCTTCAACGCATAGTTTGATATCTTCTGGTTGAAATGGTAAAGTACTAAACTTGAGAGGCAAGCTTTCCAAAACCGGAACTCTATGTAGCGGCAATGTCCTTCTGATAAAACGTCGAAACCTCCGGCGATTGGAAGGTTTAGTGTCGCGGTCTTCATCATACTCAAGCTTTGGCATCCGCAACCAAAGAAACTTCCATCGTTTAGACAAAATGCTAGTGGTCACAGCAACTTTTGTTGGAAGAAATGATAAAATCTTCACCAGCAAGTCATCAGAATTGATCTTTTCCATATCTTGAAAATTTCAGGATTTTTTTTTTTTTGTGGACAGAAACACCGAGAGCGACAAAAACAGAGTAAATAATTAGAGAGAAAACGGTGCAAAAGCAATTGATATTGTGGAAGGTTGGGGTGGGGGTGAGATATTTTCTACCGACAAGGTTATTTCCGTATATATAATGGAAAATAAGAGAGTGCTCAAACGTCGTTTTATTTTTCTGAATTTATATTCTGGTCAAAGTTTGTATTCGATGTCTTTCTATATTTCTTGGGAAGATGTTTTTTTTGGGAATTAAAATGTGTGTTTAGGAACTAAAAAGATAATTAAATCACAAAAAGTTCATATTCGATGTCTTTCTATATTTCTTGGGAAAATGTTTATTTTTTTGGGAATTAAAATGTGTGTTTGGGAACTAAAAAGATAATTAAATTACAAAAAGTTCATCTACTTGTAATAACTAATAAGCACGACAACCTTAATTGCAATTTGGAACAAGGGTTGACGTTTAAAAAGAAGGGTTGACATTAAAAAAGAAGATGAAGAAGAAGATGTTGATGTATTAAGAAGTATCCCATCGTCACATAATGTATATCGTTTTAACCATCGTATCGATATGAGAGTTGTTTCGCCAGATGGTGGTGTGGCAACATTTTATTTTCTCAAGGTTTAATTCGCTTGTTGTGTGCTAAATTGTGTTCCGTCGACTGAGAGTTAAAATAGAGCGAAATTGTGTTGTCTGAGATTTCCCTGTTTTTGTTTCTTCTCTGACCATCCACATTGGTGGGCTTTTAGCAAATGTTTTTAACAATAATTTTATTATTTATTTTGAAGTTAAGAGTTTTGATAAGAGTTTTTTTTTCTTAAGAGTGTATTTTGTCTCTTAGAGTGTATTTTATCTTTTATATAAGAGTCAAATTTTAACTATTTTACTAATTAAACATTAAATTTAAATCTTAATATCTCTAAGAATTATATTAAGAGCCCACCAATGTGGATGCTCTAAACATAAGCTCTCTTCATGGTTTTCACTTATGGGTTTTTCTCGTTTCTCTCCTTACATTGGTTTAAAACATTTGGGCATCTCAATCTCGCCCAAATCATCAAACTCAGGTTTCGATTTCTCTTATCTTTATTTCATTTTTTCTGGATTTTGTAAAAAGTTGTTCAATTTTTATAGTTTAGTGGT